TCCCCCTAGCCTACACTCAGCTACTCCCTGTTGCAGACATGCATGTAAAAGAATCTTTGCAGAATCAGTCTGACATGATAGTTTCATCTTCCTGGTGATGAAGAAAGCAATATGGAGAATTGTTATTATGAATCCTATTCATGAAAAACAAGGAAGAACTGGGTGGACATTAAAAGGGAAGGTAATTTTGGGAGAGGAAGGAAACTACGGGTGTGACTCTGTGCCAGGCAACGGGTGGGTGCTCTACGTACATCATCTCACTTCAGCTGGGCACCTCCCTCTTGAGGTCAGGCTCATCGTTTCCATTTTACAGCCAGAACAACCTGGGAGAGCAGTCAATTTGCCTGTGGCCACTTAATTAACAAGTCGTGGAGCCAGAGTTCGAACTCAGATATGCCTAACTTGGAAATCACTCTTTCCTCAAAGGCACGCTGCCCAACCCAGTGCGGGGAAGGTGAGACAGGGTACTGAGAGGGCAGTAGGCAGGACAGATAAACCCTAATGCGCAGCAAAGGAATCATGAGGCTTCAGCACCGAGTGGGACATAAAGGACTAGGACACTAGGTCAGAGGGGGATGCTCAGGCAGGTGATTGAGGAAGGGCTAGAGACTGGGAGGAAATTAATCATCCTCCCCTTCACAGTTGAGTCTAATTTTGGCCTTGAACCCAAGCTACAAAAGTTATTTCCAATCACAAAGGATGCAAGTTCACAGATGGAAGCTCATACAAAGGCAACATTCAGAAGCATCTTCACCATTTTTTTTTTCTAGAAAATGACATGATTTCAACATCCCATAGGGCAAGGTAACCAGGTAGCACCATTTTTCCAGAAGGCTTTGGAAAATTAAAATGCCAACATGGCAAACAGAATGGAAAATGTGATCATGGAAAAAATGCTAAGGTTTTAACTGTACTGATTTTTATCTCCTCTCTGTCTCTTAAGTTCTCCTGGAGAACACAGGCGCTACAAGACTTCCCTCCCCTTGTCACTAATTAGAGATTCCCTGATGTGTTAAACACCCCTGATTTTTCCCATTTACTAGTGGGTAGAAGGTTATTCTAAAACAGAATGTTATTCTAAATAGGCCACATAATTAGGTTATTGAGGGTCACCTACAATTAGCCCACAGGTATTAAGTGATGGCTAGGGAGGAGAGGAAGTGGTTTTTATTTCTATCCCAGGTCCAGTAGCATAGCACAGCTTGGCCCATGGTGGACACCCAAGAATTGGTCACCGGTATTTTAGCTGTGGCTTTGTACTTTTTCTCCATGTTAACTTTGAAGTCTGACACATGTGGGTTCAATTTCAGGCTCTGCAACCAGCTATGTGACCTTGGGAGGATTACTTAACATCCCCAGGGCTTAGTTTGCTCTTCTGTAAAATGGAGATACGACTGCCTGCCTCAGGAGACTGTCAGGAGGATTCAGTGAAATTTTATGTGAATAAAGCCTGGCAATGTATGTTGGTGGTAGCTGAGAAACAGCACCTGGTACCAATTATCCTGAGCATGTCCCTCAAAGCTGGACAGTTCCCTCTTTGACAGGCCACTGTAAATCCACAACCCAGCCCCTTCCAAGCTAGTTCACCCCTGCCACTACTCTCCCTTTCCTCCAAGAATCAAAGTGATTCTTAGACTAAGAACTTGGAACTGCAGTATTGCTCCTTAAATCTGTTCAATACACTTTCTCAGTGAGTCATAGTGACACCTCATTCCGTCAGGGGCACACAGATAATGACAAGGACTTTGCTATATCCTGCTGCAAACTCTATGAAGGTCAACAAATTATACAGATTTGGCTCAGTAAGAGGGTCTGGCTCAGCAAATTGCTCCAGGTTCCCCACTATCTCACACTCATGCCTAATCCCCAAAGAATCAAGAGAAGATTAAAGCAACTGGTCCCCCTGGCCCAGGAATCCTTTCACCATGGAAGGGCCCTCAGGGCTCAAACCATGCTTTTGCAGACAGCCCCAAACCCACTCCTCACAGGAAGCCCAATTTTGAGGGGCAATTTTTATTGACAATTATTTTAATGACAATTTTCTTTTCTTACATCTCCAACTTACAAGTCATTTTTATGTGTAGGCATTCCTGAGTGTAAGAAGTCCGATGGCCCCGGATTAGATTAGGTAAGGGAAAAGTACAAAACAGAAGGTGAAGGAAACCACTCATGAGAAGTGTTTGCCCGCCTGTTGCCTTATGGCCCAGGGAGAGGCCCTGGTGCTATTTTCCATGACCCCTATGAAAATACTGATGGTGGTGACTGTTGGCATCTCTCGTATTCTTTGTGTTTCTTGAATAAGGCAGTTCCCATACTTGAATAGTCCTCATTTTTAAAGATGAGGAGATCTTGGCACAATGGACTCATTGCCTAAAGTCACTGTCAGTGGCTGGGGAAGAACTCAGCAGTCAGGCTCCTTGTGACCCAAAAGCAACCAATAGGCCAGTCTAGAAGGCTGCTAAATTTTTGCCTTGTCTTCCCAGCACCTCTAACTGCTTTTCCTATTCTAATTCATTTCCAAGCCTCCAATTCTTTTAATTAATCTACATTAATTAAATCTACTAACAGACAAATATAGTGTAAAAGAAACATACAGGGCAGTCTATGTCTGAGCAAGCCGGCTAAGGCTACTCTAGGATCATCTCTCAAACTCACTGTTGTGTCTGTGTGGGTGAGTGTTCTGGCTGGATACACTCAAAGGGGTATCTAAAGGGAGTTTAATGAAGGGGTTATTTATAAAGGAGAAAGCATGATTCAAAGGCTCCCTCCTGGTGCCAACAACAGCAAAAAGCAGAGACCACCGCTATCTGATGTGCAGGGCAAGTTTATTACTCGCCCCCAGTTAATTATAACAAATTTGAATTGCAAGATGATGGCCAACCACATTTTTAGCAGAACCAGGATCAAAATGTAGGGCTCTAGAGTCCTGATCCATTGTTATTTCATAAGAGGCACATTTTCCTTGTGTTTTCCACTGCCCTTGTCAAAGACTGTAAGGCAGGACACTGTTTGGGTCCAACAATTATGTTCTATTTTTATCCAGATGTTTTAGCCTTATAGGCAAAACCTTTCTGGTTCTAAGAAGACATCCAAAAATCTGGGGGAAATAAAGAGTTATTACAAAGTGAAGGTTACCATGAAAATGACAGGAAAGAAACCAAAAAAACTTAAGTTGTGAACAATTCATATATATATATGCTACAAATGATGATTCGAGTTGATACAAATTAATGTAGAAGGTCCATGTATATTTATATTAGCTAATTCAGATACACTGTGTTCCGTGGACCATTTCTAGGTACTGACCCTTAAGTGTTAGTTGTTTTTAATGACTACAATATTTAAAAATATATGCAACAAAATAGAAGCTATTATTCATGTTTTCACATTGAAATGACTTGGTCTCTGCTTGCTACATTGTAACAATAAAAACATTATTGTGAGCCATGATTATTGGGGATTTATGAAGGTGTGGGCATGAAACCAAAAGATCTGGGTTCAAGATCTTTCTAGTTCTGCCGCTTTCTAGCTTTGCGACTCTGAGAAAATCACTTTTGCCTCCCAGTGCAGTGTTTGGAATGCATGGTAGACCATATTGCACCAATTAATGACCAGTTTCCAATTGTTCAGCTTCTCCACCTGAGACTGAGACATTGTGAGTTACCGGCTGGCTTTCCATTAGTACCTTTTGGTGTCCTTGCAATGAGTTACACAGTAAATCAGACACTGTCATTCCCCAGCTTAAGACTCTCAATAACTGTTCTGCTCAATATAGTAGCCACCAGCCAGATGCGGTTGATAGTAGCTAGATGGTAGCCACCAGCCAGATGTGGATAATCCGAAGAGAGACGTTCTGTAAGTGTAAAACACACACCAGATTTCAAAGACAAAGCACAAAAAAAAAGAGTGTAAACCATCTCAGTTATTTTTATATCAATCACAGGTGAGAATGACCACATTTTGGTTATATTGGGTTTAATAAAATATATAATAATGATTTCACCTGTTTTTTATTTTTTTAATATTGCTATTAGAAATTGTCAAATTACATATGTGGCTTGCATTATGTTCCAGTGGGAAAGCACTGATGTCTAACCTCCTGCCATTTCCAGGAGAGAATATAACATGGTTTATAGGGCCCACATAAGCCAGCTCCTGCCTCCCTCACCTGAGGCGCCTCATACCATTCTCCTTGTCCCACCACACTGACTTCATGATCCCTCAGACACACCAAGCTCACACCCACCTCAAGGTCTCTGCTCTCATGACCCCATCCTTCTGGAATGTTCTCTCCATGGGGACTCTACTCACAGCTGACTCATTCTCTTCTTTGGGGGCTCAGCGCATATACCAGCTGCTCAGCCAGGCTTCCTAGACCCCTGATCTAAAAGGACTGCATCCAGTGAATTTCTCCACTTATCTCCTCCTAGGCATTCATTTTCATCCTTAATTACCTTATCTAAATATCTGTCTATTTGTTTAATGCCTGTCTCCCCCTACACACATTAGAATAGAAGTTATATGAGGGCAAGGACATTTCCTGTCTTATTCACTGTTGCATCCTCAGCTCAGGGCATAACCCATAGTATTTCCCAATTCAATATTTTTTGTTTAATTCATTCATTTATGAATGGTAAAAAGAATACAAGACTCAGACTTAAGAATCCCAGTTAGGACAAACCCAGTGATAACTATGACAACAGCAGCAGCGTCTTAATCCAAGTGCTTCCCGTTTTGCTTATAATCAACCATCTGTAATCATTATGGAAGCAATGCAGTATAGGTGAAAGGGTACAATCTGAAGTTAAAAACTGAATTTAAATTTCAGCTCTGCCACCTGCTAGTTGTATGACCCTACAGCCCTGGGACTGTTTGGGATTTCTGTTTTCTCTGAGACTGGTTGTCTTGGAGTTCAAGTAAGATTAGGGCTCTGTCAACCAGAGAGCCCCATAAGTAGTTATTAAACCAAGATGTTCTCCAAGGAGGATTTTTTTATTTACCTTGATGTCCCCAGCACATATCAGAGGACTTGGCTTATGGAAAGTACCCTAAAACTGCTTGACAGATTAATGAATGCTTCTAATAAGCCCCAGTGTCAAAAATCAATGACCTTTGGAGAAATCAGATCTCTGCTGTTTCATCTTGGAAAATATATCCAATTTTCTTCCAAAGAGGAGTGAAGAGGACCTCATAGCTAGAGTGAGGCTCAGGTACAATAACTGTATTTTCCCCATTCTCCTGAAAAGTCCCAAGTTGTAGTAAGCTGTCCAGGTGTCCGTCTAAGTCTCTGAATATAGGTCCCCTGGAACAAGCGGGTCAAGTGTAGGGTTTAAAGTGTCAAAGTCAGGATCCTCAGCTGGGGAGACAGCAATTTCTAGCAGAGAGCAGAGACCCCTCTCTGCCTACAGAAGGTCTTTTTCCAGAAAGGAGGAAATGTGCCACCCCAACCAGCAGCTCCTGACACTCCTATTCTAAGAAATTCTGAGAAACAGCTGCAACATCTGCCTCCTTAATTGTACCTGGAGCCAAGGGTAAAAATAAGGAGGAGGAGAAAGTCTGCTAGTTGGAGCTATTAATAAATAGTGTTCAAGTTAATAAAATTAGCATTATTCCATGGAACGATGATTTTTCAAGATGGGGTAAGGAGGGTGGCCGGGAAGGGAGTGGGAAACGATTTCACTGGGCAGGCTTTTTCCTGGTTTGAAAGGGATAAAGCTTGCCTTTGTTATATTCCTGGCTTCTATTCCCATAGCTCTGAAATATAAAGGCTTCTGGCATGACATCTGATTTAGCACTATTGTTCCTAGGATTTGCTACTGAAAGGACTATTCACGTGGAAACCTTCTCTCCCAGGCCAGGCTTCTGTTGGCCACTGTTTATTTACATACTGGTTTAACATGCAGGCCACCTTGGAAATTTGGACAAACCAGGCCAGGTGTGCCATTACACTATCTCTCCCTTTTCTTACCTTGCCTGCTTACTGCATGGCAGTAGAGCGTAGAAGGTTACCAGGGGTTGGGAAGTGGTGGGCTGGAGTGTCAGGGATGAAGAGAGGTTGGTTAATGGCAACAAACACAGTTTGATAGTAGGAAAAGTCTAGTATTCAATAGCACAGTAGGGTGACTATAGTTAACAACGATGCACTGTATATTTCAAAATAGCTGAAAAAGGTTGGGTGCAGTGGTTCACTCCTATAATTTTAGCACTTTGGGAGGCCAATGTAGGAGGATCACTTGAGGTCAGGAGTTCAAGACCAGCCTGGACAATATGGTGAAACCCGTCTCTACTAAAAATACAAAAATGAGCCAGGTATGGTGGCTTATGCCTGTAGTTCCAGCTTCCCAAGAGGCCAAGCTGGGAGAATCGCTTGAACCTGGGAGGTTGCAGTGAGCCAAGATTACATCACTGCACCCCAGCCTGGGTGACAGAGCGAGACTCTATCTCAAAAAAAAAAAAAAAAAAAAAAAAACTGCTAAAAGAGATGTGACATGTGACATGTTCCCAAGACAACGACATGATAAATGTTCAAAGTGATGGAAATCCTAAATACCATGATTTGATCACTGCACATTGTAAGCATGTATCAAAATTATCACATGCACAATCATTGCATCTAACTATCTATCTATCTATCTATCTATCTATCTATCTATCTATCTGTCAGAACCCAACCTCTATTCATTTGCCCTAATGAGCCTGTAACACATGCTAGGTGTTTGAGGACATAGCTGGGTGCAAACAAGGCAAAAATCAATTATAGTAGACATCTGTGAAAGAAAGAAAAGGTCATCCCTCATCTTGGAAAGCCCTTTCCAGGAATGTGTTAAAAAAAAAAAAAAAAAAAAAAAAAAAAAAAAAAAAAAAAAAGTCATGGGAAGACTGGAGATGGTAAGAACTAAATTGGAGAAGGTTTTCAGAGGAAAAAGGCTCCAGCAAGAGACAGCCCCAGAATGAGAACTGCAGCCTCCCCCTCTCCCCAAATCCCTCCCGAATAGTGCACTTCGGGACCACTCTTCAGTCTCTGTGCAACCGAGTTTTATTTTAGCCCACAGGAACCCTGGTTTCTGGCAGTGGGCACTGCAAAGACAGGTTACAGGCTGAACACCTCACAAAAGAGACAGTAGTATTCTCTCTAGGATAAAAAGGGCTTGTGTTTAATCCTCTGTAGGGGCAGAGGGGAAATGTCTCTGGGAATCCAAGTCTGTGGAACCCACTCAGCAGAGAGATGTGGCTTTATAGGCAAACAACACGGCATAGAGAAAGGAACCTGGCCAATTCTGTCTTACAAGAGTAGTTATGTTATGTGTTGCAAGGTCTCCACATTCCAAGGATTTGTCAGCTCAGATGGAATCTTGTTTGTACGGGCCTGCATGACCCCATTTATCTAAAAATTACTAACTTCCTAGTTTGTAATTTATAATCCTGCACCCCCACCTCGACCCCCGCCATGAGGCTCTCTCTATTACTCAGTCTCTCAGGTTTAAAGCCTTGCTCAACAGTTCAGCTGTGGATCAGTTATTCTCTCTCGTTATTTCCTCATCTATTGCCTTAGAGTCACAACAATAATACCTGAGATAATTATGAGCATACAACGAGACAATGTGTCCATAGAAGCATCTCTAAGATCAGGACAGTGTGTTCTTGCTCATGGAATAGGGAGGATTTATGTTAAAGCAAGCTATGAGAATGCAGTTTAATACTTGACAAATGCTAAGATTTTTTTAAAAAAATCATAACTCGCTGGAATCTCTTCTCTCTGGTGATTGGAGAACTCGCCCAGGTTTGGGAAAAGTTAGCCAGCTGCTGCAAAACACCTCCTCCCTGATCCCTCCCCACGCCCCCCTACGACCAGGCAGAAAGGGTGGGAAGGGGAGCACAGCTCAGCATTTATTTCTGGATCCAGCTCACTAAAAATACCTCGGCCCTCCTTTTGGATCACTCTCCCTTTTGACCTGAATGGATCGCGGGAGACGCGCCGCCCGCCCCACCCTCAGCCCGTTGCCCTTTAAAGGAAAAGGGCGGGGGACGGATTCCTGCCGCTCTAGGGACTCGGGGCAGGCAGGGGCCGCGGCCTTGCTGACGTCAGAGCTGCTAGCGTCGGCTCTGCTCGCGGCCTCAGTGCAGAGACCGCCTGGAGGGAGGGGGACAGCCTTGCGTTGGGATTGGCTGGCCTCGCGCGAGCGCCGGCGCTGATTGGCTGGCGAGGTTTTAGAGGGAGTCCCGCTCTCCAATTAAAGCGGTCCGGCTGCGCCCGGCTGCACACAGAGCTCCCCCTGGGCCCGCGAACTTGGCCATTCAGCCACCTCTGTCCCCGCTGTGTGCCCTCGCGCCTCTGCCTGAGAAGCCAGGCGCTGTTCCTCCACCCAAGAAGAGGATGGCAAAGGTGGCTAAGGACCTCAACCCAGCAGTTAAAAAGGTGAGCGGAAAGTTGCCCATATTTACCCAGATTCTTTCTTTTCCTTGTTTCCCCTTCCCGTCTGTTGGCAGAAACTTCCCAAAAGGTAATGGGAAGGAAACTCTTTAAATTCCAAAACTGCATGGAAAACAAGTAGTTGGGAATATATGTTTGAGCTAACAGGCACATACACCCCAAACCCATTGTTGTGTAAAATAATTTTCAAAGGGTCTTATGTCTTTGGTGATGCTAGCTAAAATTAACTAGTAATCTTATGGTCTGTAAAGGAAAAATCCCTAGCTTCCTCACTCCCTCAGGTGGCTGAAGTAAGGGTTGGGGGCATGTAATATTTACCCATAGTCTCCCTTTCGCTATTATCCCTATGTTTTGCGTGTTTCTCCCAACACACACACACACACACACACACACACACACTGAGTTTCTTTAGTTGATGATGTTGGCAGTGGCAGCAGTTCCAACATAAGGGAACTGATTTCTGTCCCCAGGGTCTGCACATTTCCCTTTCAAGAAGGGCTGGCCCGGAGCCCAGAAGGTCACTGGTAAACTCCTGCACAGGAGCCTGCAGCTGTGCCTATAGCTCCAGTACCCTTTGTTGCTTACCTGAATGCAGCTGGCAGAGGGCACAGGCTGCAAACTTAGAGAACGTGTGAACGGGAAGGGAACAGAAAGACAACCTAGGCTTTACAGATGGGGAAACTGAGGTCCAGGGTCACAGAGAGTTGGTCCCAGCAAGCAGCTGACCTTAAGGAAAACCCTAGGCATCCAGACTCAGTCCTTGCCACTTTTTACCTGCACAGTACTCTCCAAGTCACTTTTTTGAGCCTCAATTTCCTTGTCTCTGATGTGGGGATGATAGGCCTAACCCCCCTCACAGCAGCGGTAGCAGGGATATTGACACTGACTTAGTTTCCCAAAGCAGTAATTGTTAAACTCAGATTTCACAGGATTTAGTCTTGCAGGGCAAAGTCTTCCTTAAACATCTGCCATTAACGTGCAGGGTAGAATGGGGGGCGGGGGGGAAAGACTGGCAGAATCAAACTAAAGACGCAAACCGCCACTTGGAGGCACAGCATTCCCCATCAAATTTGTAGCTGTGCTCTTCTACAGACAATCTGCCCAGATCCTGTCACAGAGTCCAGCAGATCCTTCTAAATGTGTATCAAGTCACATTGAATCTGGGCATTTCTCTGGAATGTATCACGCCTCATTGTATTGCCAGGTTATTTGCAGAATCAAGTCATTTCCCCTTCTACAGAAATTATTGAAGCACTTTAGACACTTACAAGATGCCTATTAATTTCTACCTAGTACTGAGTTATGCATGCAATGCTTTTATTTCTCTATACATTTTTCTGGACTCCTTGAGGGCAAACCTGCCTTGCTCATCTCTGTCCCAACATAGCATACCATGCCACACACACAGTACTCAAAAACCTATGAGTGGGCCACGAGAATATCTGTCCAGCTAAGACCACACTGTTTGCATAGGCTTCATTTTATGCATTATTTTTTAACTTGTAGCACGGATATTTGTGTGTCTGAACTGCCTCCCCAAGTTCAGATACAGAGTAGTTCAGTGCTAAAGGTGGCAGAGTTTCATTGTCCTCTGGAAGTGAAATAATTCTGAGTATTTTATATATAAGCTGGTTGATGGTTGCTGCAGGAAGTGAGATGAGATATATGAAAACTCCCACTCCTCACCACAGGCCTGGGTTGCCACTTAGAGGAAGCCTTGTTTTTATTTTCCTTTGCATAGGGGAGTGTGATTATCCTGATTAGAGGTAGAACATGTTCTCCTTCTTGTCACCCCCTAGTGCCAACTTCCTTGGCCTGCAAAGGGTTTGCTTTCCATTTAGATCCAATTACAGAGAAAGAATGTGGTGGGTAGAAATGAAAGGGCAGATTTTTTTTTTTTAACCTCTTGAGACTGCCATAATCAGGAGGAAGATCACCACTATGTAGATTAACCAACACCTTCAACTCAAAAAGTAGAGGGGAAAGAAGAGAGTGGAGAAGCTCACCTTGCTGGACTGAATGTCACAGAAGTGTTGAAGTACTATGGGATATCAGCAGCCTGCTGAAAAGCTTTTATTGCATATTTACTTTTTAAATCTGCAACAGTGGGGGGTGTTATAACATTTGGCTTCAGGATGCATAATCACACTTAAACATTTTGAAACCATTTCGTAGACTCTTGGAGCTACAAGGGACCTATTTACAAAATGAGAAAGGGTTTAAAATGGCATACAAGCTGTCTCCATTGCCCTACACCCAAGGGGGTTGGGGCAGGAACCCCCACTAACTGGAATAAAAAGATCTTCAGCAGAGAACATAAAATCTAAAAACCGGAGTGGACTTAAAGGTCGTCTAACCAACCCCAGACAGGCTGGGGAAAGACTCACTAGGGACCACATGCATACATCGTGGCAGAGCATAGAAGTTCCCCAACTTCCCTCTTCCTTGATAAGTAAAATACTGCCACTGGCTGCTCTTGAACTTTTTTTTTTTTTTTTTTCTATTGGAAAAGAGAAGGTTTCCTAGCACAGACAATTCCCTGAGAATGGCGAAATTGCCAACATTTCTTGGTAACAAAGGGCCTTGAAGGCCAAATACAATTTTTCTTGGTGAAACCAATCTCGACTCTGGATTTGTTCTTCTTGTTTATTAAGAATGCAAGTTATTAGTGCAGGGTTTGGCTTCAGATCTGGTTTAAGTCCCAGCTCCACCACTTGCTAGCTGCGTGGTCTTGGGCACGCTAATTAACTTTGAATCTGTGTCCTCACCTCATCTGAAAGTTAAAGAAACAGTAACAGCATCTGCTTCCCAAGGTGGCTGTGATAATTGAGATGATGGATGTAAAAGGCTCAGGCATATGAGCACTTCAAGTTAGCCACTGCAGTCCTGGGTGGTGGTAGTACATTTCAGTAAGTGCATGGATGCTGAAAGGAGTGTTTTGGTGAATGAGGGACACTTTTATTTATAACTGCCCCATCTGAAGAGCACCCAACTTTCATTCAGCTGAACCACAGTCATTGCTCAGCTTTGACAAGCTAAGACAATGACCAAATGCTCTTGCCTTCATTCTCACCCAACTGGATGCAAAATCTGCTTACATAGAATGGTCTTTCCTTCTGAACGTGGACTGCCAGTTCATGGAGCATTTCACTTTGGAGTTCTATAATTTTCGGCCTGGAAGGGGACTTGGAGCTCCTTAGGTTTTAGATAAGGAAACTGAGGCCCAGAGGGATCAAGCTCCTTATCAGAGGTTGCAGAGAAAATGTACTGAAGCCTATTAGGCTCTGCAAGAATACAGACCCCTTGACTGTCAGGGAGCCATCTGCAGGAATTTAGAAGGGACTAGAAGAAAGAGAGCTAAGAGCCTGTTCATGGTTGACTGAGCGGTCACCAGTGGGCTGGCTCCGTCGGAGCCAATTAGAAATTCTCACCCCTCAACACGATGCCCACGGGGCATAAATGATGTTACTTCTAAGTGCTTTGCCAGGTCCAACTGGGTGTCTCCCTCCCTGCTTCTCTACATCACATCCCTCTTGGCTTTCCTGTCCTTCAGGCCAGGCCTTCCCTCTGCACTCGGCCCTTCCTGCTTTCACCTCCACTTCCTGCAGTGTGCAAAGCTGCTGGCACGCCACCCAGTGAGCCGATCCAATGTAAACATGGCTCCTTGAGAATTGTCGTTGGCTCCCTCAATCTTAAAAACATATTAAACTGTCACTTAAAGACCTTAATAGCTAAGACATTGGAGACATGCCCATAGGTGTATAAGCAACTTGTCCCAAAACACAGCCTTCTTTTTTAAAAACAGAAATAAATTATCCAAGTCCCTTTTAGAGGCTCTCTAAAACCAGATGCTGAAACTATTACTTTGTAAGTTGGAGATTTTTGTCCTAACCTCTGGGTGTGTCTGTCTATGTGGAGTTGGGGGCTGACAGTTGACTTCCACCAATGTATCTGCCACTGTGGTAGTGGGAGGCAGGGAAGAGCTTCATTCGATTATCTCCAGGCTTTAAGCCATCTCAACTCCAAGACTAGGAATTAGCTCAGAGCTTACCAACACTCCTATGAGTGGGAAAGTGGGAAAATGACTTTGGCATTCCCCTCTGAGGATGCTTGATTTAATCTTTTCTTGATGCTAACTGACCAAAGGTGACAAGGATGAAAAAAGAATAGGCTAAATTCAGCAAAGGCTGGGGACCAGGAAAGAGGGGCTGTGCACAGGCTTTTGTGTATCTTTCTTTCTGCCCTTACACAGGCCACTTCCTGAGAGGAAAAGGTAAACAGTAGAGAAGTAAGGGAATAATAGTTCCTCTCACAACCCACTGGAGCCGAGAGGGCTCCAGGAGGAGTATTCAATTTGACTTAAGAAAGGCAAATCGTCCTTTCTTTTCAACTTGCACATTCAAAATAGTTTGTGTCTCATAAAGTGGAGATTTGCCATGATAAGTAACAGACCTTGAGAGCTCTTATCTCCCAATCATTCATCCAACACCATTTAAATCTTTATTTTAAGAACAGATTTCTGGCGGTGAGGGCGGGGTGGGGGGGGTGAATCATTTTAATAACTGCAGGCATTTACTCACAGGGTGACTGGACAGGTCACCTTTCCTAGGAAGTGGCAGAATTTGGATAAGAACCAGACTTCCTTCTGCCTCCAG